CAGCCTGGCCATCATGGTGAAACCCCATCTTTTTAAAAAAAAAAGAAAAAAGAAAGAAAGAAAAAAAAGAAAAAAGAAAGGGTTGGGATCTGAGACTGCTGAAGAAAGGAAGGAGATGCAGAAAAGAGATTTTACCCTGGAATGAAATCTCCAGAGACCCCTAGGAAAGCACGGTAGCCCCCATTCATCAGGATGGGGCCTCTTGTCGGGGAAGTGGGCTGGGCTGGGAACCCTCAACTCGACAGAAGCCTCACGTGTCCTCTCCTCTCTGCCTCGGCACAGACAAGGGTACAGCCCCCACTCTCCGACATCTGTACAAGGAGCTGATGGGGCCGTGGAACAAGGACGAGATCAGCACAACAGACGCCATCTTCGTCCAGCGGGACCTGAAGCTGGTCCCGGGCTTCATGCCTCACTTCTTCAGGCTCTTTCGGACCATGGTTAAGCAGGTGGACTTTGTAGAGGTGGAGAGAGCCAGATTCATCATCAATGACTGGGTGAAGACACACACAAAAGGTGAGCAGGCAGGGAAAGGAAGCCCATCCCCAGGGCCTCAAGAGGAAGAGAATTTGGAAACAAATCCACATATCCTAGTTGGGTGCAGTGGTTCACACCTGTAATCCCAGCCCAACATTTTGGGAGGTCTAGGGAAGAGGATGGCTTGAGGCCTGGAGTTTGAGAACAGCCTGGCCAACATAGCAAGACACCATCTCTACAAAAAACTTAAAAATTAGCCAGGCATGGTGGTGCACACATGTAGTCCCAGCTACTTGGGAGGCTGAGGTGGGAGGATCACTTGAGTCCAGGAGTTCAAGGCTGCAGTGAGCTATGTTTGCACCACTGCACTCCAGCCTGGGCAACAGAGCAAGACCCCATCTCTAAAAAACAATCCAAAACAAAAACAACAACAAAAATCCACATATCCTAAACAACTCTCCTTTTCAGCATTCTCTTCTCTATGGACAGAGGGCTGGATGCTTTAAGAACCAAAGCCTGGGTCAGGCGCGGTGGCTCATGCCTGTAATCCTAGCACTTTGCCAGGCTGAGGCAAGTGGATCACCTGAGGTCAGGAGTTCGAGACCAGCCTGGCCAACATAGTGAAACCCTATCTCTACTAAAAATACAAAATTAGCCGGGTGTGGTGGCACGCGCCTGTAATCCCAGCTACTCGGGAAGCTGAGGCAGGAGAATCACTTGAACCCGGGGAGGTGGAGGTTTCAGTGAGCCAAGGCTGCGCCATTGCACTCTAGCCTGGGCGACAAGAGCAAGACTCCATCTCAAAAAAAAAAATTTTGTTTCTTTTTTTTTTTCGTTCAGGGTAGTATGGCTGTAGATCAAAAAAAAAAATTTGTCTAACTTCCTGATCATTGGTTTTCCTATAGGTATGATCAGCGACTTGCTTGGGAAAGGGGCCGTGGACCAGCTGACGAGGCTGGTGCTGGTGAATGCCCTCTACTTCAATGGCCACTGGAAGACTCCCTTCCCCGACTCCGGCACCCACCACCGTCTCTTCCACAAGTCAGACGGCAGCACTGTCTCCGTGCCCATGATGACTCAGACCAACAAGTTCAACTATAGTAAGTCCAAGAGCCCCTTCCCCACAGCCCACAGTGAGTGCATCTCATATTCCCAGGGTCTCCCAAGGAATACCCAAAATGTCGGCCTCCGAGGGAGGAAGACCGCAGGGAATGTCCCCCTCTAAGGGAGGAGAGACCCTAGAATATACTCCAGCTTTGACAAAGATTTCCCAAGCAAGAGACATTAGGATAATGGGAACAGAAGACAGGAGCTTTTTTGGGGTGCTGAAGAAGGAACAGAGTCTTGCTCTGTCCATGGGCTGGAGTGCAATGGCATGATCTCGGCTCTCTGCAGCCTCTGCCTCCTGGGTTCAAGCTATTCTCCTGCCTCAGCCTCCCAAGTAGCTGGGATTACAGGCACCTGACACCACGCCCAGCTAATTTTTGTATTTTTTACTAGAGACGGGGTTTCACCATGTTGGCCAGGCGGGTCTTGAACTCCTGACCTCAGGTGATCCACCCATCTCGGCCTCCCAAAGTGCTGGGATTATCGGTGTGAGTCACTGCTCCCAGTGACAGGAGCTTTATCCCATGAAGGGTGAAGCTGAAATCCAGAAATTCCCTCAGGGCCACATTTGTCTACCTGACTCCAGGGTCCCATCTTTGTGTGTTGCTAATGTGATTACCTGGGGCTGAGAAATCCTGCTGGGGGAGTCAAGGTTAAGAGGATGAGGACTCCAGGTGCGGTGGCTCACACCTATAATCCCAGCACTTTGGGAGGCTGAGGCTGGTGGATACCTGAGGTCAGGAGTTCAAGACCAGCCTGGCCAACATGGTCAAACCCTGTCTCTACTAAAAATACAAAAATTAGCCAGGCGTGGTGGCACAAGCCTGTAATCCCAGCTACTTTCGAGGTAGAGGAAGGAGAATTGCTTGAACACAGGAGGCAGAGATTGCAGTGAGTTGAGCTCGTGCCACTTCACTCCAGCCTGGGCAACAGAGTGAAACTTCATCTCAAAGAAAAAAAGGATGAGGACTGGGATGAATTGGTGGCTGGGTGTAGGGAAAATGGAAGTGAAGGAAGGCCAAAAGAGATAGAGAAGACCGAGGCCGGGCGCGGTGGCTCAAGCCTGTAATCCCAGCACTTTGGGAGGCCGAGGCGGGTGGATCACGAGGTCAAGAGATCGAGACCATCCTGGTCAACATGGTGAAACCCCGTCT